ATCCAATGACTGGTGGTCACCCCTGCCAAACTGAGGGCACCTTGTCTGCTCACACTGGGCAACCAGCGTGCCCCCCCACCCTACGGCACAGCAGGGTCCAAGCCAGGAGGGGCCTTGGTGGACCAGACCTACAGCCTGGCAGGGGCTGCGACTGTAGTTCTGGAAAAGCTATAGTTGTCAACTGAAATACAGTCAGAAGTCTGACCTCTCTTCCCCAAACCACAGCCACTGAAGAGATGGTGGGGTGATGTATGCTGCCTTTCTGGAGCTTTTCCAAAGCTGGGCCCCTTGCAAGCCACCCCAAGGTGGCTCAGGACAGGCTGACCTTCCATAGTCAGTGTTAGCACATTTCCATCACCTAACAAGAGACCCTATGCCCCTTCCTTTCCCTTCCCTCCATCCCCTGGTGACAGCCACTGATGGCTTCTGTCTCAATGGATGTGCCTGTTGAGGACATTTCAAGTCCAGGGAATCTACATGAGGCCTTGAGGGCTGACTTCTTTCACTCTGTATCCATTTTCAAGGTTCACCACGTGACAGCATGGCTGGATGATATCTATGGCTGGACAGTACTCCATTATATGAACGGCCACATTTTATTTACCTGCAGGTATAATAATGGACACTGAGGTTGTTTCTGCTTTTCTGCTACAATGACCAATGCAGCTGAGAACATCTGTGTGCAGTCCTTTGTGTGGACATGTATTTTTGTTTCTCTTGAGTATATACCTGGGGTTCCTTCAGGACTGGAATTGTGAGACATAAGATAACTCTGTGCTAAACCATTTAAGGAACTGCCAGACTATGTTCTCCCATTCCGTGGAATTTCTCACTTTCTTGATGGTATGATTTTATGCACAGAAGTTTTTTATTTTGGCGAAGTCCGATTTTTCTATTTTTTTGCTCTGATTCCTGTTGCTTTTGGTGTCATGTCTAAGAAGCTTTAGCCAAAGCCAAGGTCGTGAGGATCTACCCATTTTGTTCTAAGAGTTTTGTAGTCTTAGTTCTTAACATTTTGGTCTTTAATCCATTCTGAATTAACTTTTGTATGTGGTGTGAGGGAGGGGTCCAAATTCATTTCTTTGTGTGTGACCATATGGTTGCTCCAATGACATTTGTTCAAAACACTGTTCTTTCCCCTTGGGATGGTCTTTAGTGACCTGGTGGGAATTAAGTTGATGGCAATCAGGGGTTTCCTTTTGCACCCTTGATTCCTCACACTCACTTCTAAGAGAGATGGTTTGTTTCTAGGACCCTCCTAGGCCCTTCTGGATCAACTTCCTCCCTGACCAGGGGACCTAACCCAGAACTAGAGCAGTCACCTGATGTGGACCAGCCCCATAAATGTATGCCTGTCCCCCACTTTCCCAGCAGGGTCTCCCATGGTCACATCTGGAATGTGCCTGTCTCACGTGAGACTAGGACCCATGTCACTGGGGATTCAAGAGTGGTTCCCTGGGTTGGGTGGTCTGCACAGTGTATCTCACTTCACTCTCAGAAAGCCCGAAGGCACAGAGCTGTTACTCTGTGGTAGACACGGGCTCCACATATGGACACTGAACGGCGAGCAGAGGCAAAGCTGGAGAACGACCTAAGACTTCAACTCTGGGACTGGTTTGCCTCTCAGTCTCTGCTATGGGTTCCAACCCACAATCACTTAGTCGGCACACAGGCCTATGACACTGATCAGGCACATCAGCCAGGCAGGACCCACAAAGAGCCTCCCGCGTAGAACCTGCTGGTCATGCACAGAAGAGAGAGAGCGTCCCAGGCTCCTGTTTGCGGTCAATGGCGTCCTCCACATGTGCCAGCGCTGCAGCTCTCACGAGGTCTGTGCAGCGACTTCAATGCCAGTCTAACTCCCCCATGGCTCCCATGGAAGCTTCCTGCCTCCTGAGTCTCTTGGGCTCCGCCCTTCTGTCCGAACCCCAGGGTGCTGGGCAATACTGCTTCAAAATCAGCCATGTTTCCCCCTGGCCTGTGCTCAGCCACCAAGGACTCAGTTGCAGCTTTACCCTGATTTCTTCCAAAAGGCGCTTTGTGAGAAGTTAGCCTTCAGGAGGCAGCACCTCTGTGTGGTTCTCTGCCAGGTGCTGGTAAAGGGTCTCAGGCAAACCGTAGAAGAGGTCAGACAGACCCAGACACAGCGAGCAAGGCTGGCTCCACCCAGCCCACCAGGACAGTATAAGCCGGTGCCCTTGAACGTTTTGCTGTTGCTGCTTGTGTGTGGGATACAGAAAGCCCTGCTGGGAGCACACTCTGCTTTCACATTTTTCCCTGGTGGTTACGAATGCTGCATTCACTCTCCTGCAGGGGTCACAGTACTGGGGACTGGTTTACCAAAATTGCTTCAGCTCAGAGAACCAGGCCGGAGAGGTGGAAGTCAGGTCCCTTTTCATTACCAGTACCTCCTTGCACAAAGAGGAGCCTTTCTGGTGAGCTCCTCTTTGTCCCTAAATACCCCACTCAAATGTCCCGTCAGGAATGCATCCTAGTCAGGGTGAGGCAGGAAGAAGAAGCCACCCTCCAGCACCAGCAACCCTGTGGGGTCCAATAGGTTAGGTGTTTTCAGAGTCAATCTCCTGAACACCCCCAACCCCTGTGGCCTACACTGTTTGAGTGAGAGGGTGAGCAAATTATGAAAACCTACAAAACCAGTTAACAAGGGAAGAAACAAATGCCCAGGCAGCTCCGCACTAGCATTTCTCACTCCTATACTCACTCCAGAGTTGGCACGGCCCACCCCAAGCTAAGCACTGCTCAAATTCAACACCAGCCTGACCCACTGCGGCTCATGTTTTCCTCAGCAGATACAACTGCATATGGGGAAACTTATTATGCACAGAGCAAGAAAATAGAATAGAAAAATTAAGTTAGACAGCAGCCTAGAAAATGCCCACGATGCAGAAAATGCAAGCTAACTAATTTGTTCAGCCTCCCCTGAAAATGGTGAGGTTTTAATTTGGGTCTCTAGGACCCGGCTCCAGAGGCACGGGGGGGGGGGGGGGGGGGCTCCTGGGTAGAGGGATGCAGACGCAGTGTCAGATGGGCAGACCGAGATTCAATCAGTCCTGACTGCATCTCCCACAGGTAAGCGGAGGGAGTGAGAGGAGGGCAGGGCTGTGACTGTGAGCCCCTCGAGGCCCCCTCCCTCGTACTGGGAAGAATCAATCAACACGTGACCACGTGTGCACCACTTCCACGCAGCCTACCGGGAATCAAGGTGGAGGCCCCTTGGGGAATCAGGTGGGGCAGAACCCAGTGCCAAAATCCAAGTCCCTGTCCACAATGTCTTTAATAGGATATCTCCTTGGGATGCAAGCTAGCCAATGTCTCCAGGAGGTCACATCCACATCCCTCAGTATGACCCTCCCTGTTATGGGCATCAGACACCTGTGGTGGCTTCTGTTCACTCTACCCTAGGCTACACTCTCAGCCCCAGTCTATACTCTCCTGAGTGCCTCAGAAGGGCCCCAAGGCCCTTCAGGGCTAGCAGCAGGAGAGTGGGTGGCCTATGGCCATGGGACTCTGTAAAGGCACTGAGACGGTCAGGTAGAGCCCACAGGCTACTTCTTCCTGACATTCCAGGGTCTCCAGGCAAACCAGAGCTGTGCAGTACCCTCAGCCCCAAAACTACACAGGGCCTGTGATAGTGTGGCTGAAGCCTGGATTTGTCCTGCTCCATCTAGCCAAAAGCCAAGGCCCCTCACCCTCTCCTCCCCTTTCCTGTGGGTTCCCAGTGGAACTGGAGTTCCTGCCTCAGTCCAGCTCCTACCTGGCTTTGGACAGGCTCAGGACACTCCTGAGCCTCCTAGCTTTGGGACAGATGGTCACACTGGACACAGCCACGCTTGTTAGAGCACCTTCCTGTGGTGAAAATGGAACTCATTCCACCACCACCACCACCCCTTGTGAGGTTTCAGGTCCTGTGCTCAGCATTCCTTCAACCTTCTGAGCTGCCAGTACCAGGTAAGAATAAGGTCCCCAAAGTGCCGAAAGGAAATAGGCAGGAGGGAATACTGAAGCAGCAGGATTTGAATGTTGGAAGTCAGAGCCCATGCACAGACTATGGGGGGAAGAGAAGACCAGAACCAGACAATCCAGACTCCACATCAGCTCGCAGTGAACCTGGAAAGTCCCTTCCCCATCTTGGGACCACATCTTCCTGGCCTCCTCCCACCATGATCTGACAGCCTGGAAGCCGGGCAGTGTGAGTGGCCTGAGAGCCGGACCAGGTCTGCCTGAGCTATCAGCACCACTTCTGGGTTAGGACCCAAGGATACTGCTGCCCTGAAGGCCACCCCAGACCTCACCAGGCCTCCAGGTCAGCAGTGGCCCACCTTGCTGTAGTAAGGGCACCTTAGACCACCTTATCTGCCACCCCGCCGCCCTCCAACACCACCGTGACTTTGGAACACAGCCTCTTGCTCTGCAGCCCGCTAAGCGCAATTCAGCAGGAGTCAGAACACGAGAACATCTCACAGGCAGCTGGAGGGCCAGGGTCATCTCAGGAGGTCACCACCACACAACAGCAGGGCTCTGCTCAACCTCAGAGCTCATGGGGACAAGTGAGTGAGGTTCTACCAGCCTGGTACCCAGAGCCTGATCTTGAAAATGTACCAGATGAGCCACCACTGCTGTCCTTCCCACTTCCTTCAGCAACACCAGCCAGCCCAGCCTCAGGTAGGCACACCTCCCCATGGCAGGTGTGGCAAGGAGCCCCATCCAGCTGGAAACTTTGGGTCCCTGACACCATGGCACCCCAGAAGCCATGCATGTTGAGCAGCGGGCTTTAGGTCCACTGGCCACACTGCCCACAGGTGTAATCAGACTACACATGCTGGCTCAAGGCCAAGACTGGCCAGCCAGAGTCCTGCACCTGACCCAGGGTGTACCTGGGAATACTCTAGATAAGGCTGTGCCAGGATGAGGATGACTCTGGCAGTCCTTGGTTGACTGCGTTCAGCACCCAGAGCTGACACCTGGGCTGGGGCTCTTACCGTCCACACAGGCGGGCCGGGCTCTTGTGGTACCCGCAATCTGCCCCTTTCTGCATGCACAGCGAGCTGTCTGCCGGGCAATTGTCCTCCGAGGCTGGCTGCTATCCCGGTCCAGGGTCACAATCTCACAGGTGCCGGCAGCCAGCTGACCTGCAAGAGAGGAATAGTTGAAGTTGAATAGCCAGAGCCAGAAAACCCACAGCCCAGCCAACCCAGCCCCACAGAACAGGTCTACCCATACCACCTGCAGAGGGGCCCACCCCAGCAGACCCGGGCCACCAGAAAGAATGACCTAGCCCCCCCAGGCAGAGAGACCCAGCCCAGAAGGGACATCTAAGACCACTGCAAAGAATGCCAGGGAGAGTGCTCTATGACAGCCAGTGCTGGGTCGCCAGAGACCTGCATTCTCCACACACTGAGGTTTCCAGGCAGCCCTGCCTCTCTAGACAGGAAATTAAATGTGGCCCCTCTCAGCTGCGCCCGGAAATGAAAGAGCCAAATTGTGGAAGTAAAGCGCTGTCCCCTGCCCCTCTGGCATTTGATAAGGGAAAACCGATTGCACGGAGCACAAGGTTCCGAAACCAAGCCAAGTCCCTCAGTCTCCATCCCCATGTGTCCACACACTGCCCTCAGGACAGCATCTCAGGGTCAGCAAACAGGCTGGACCCTCTCAGGTGAGTTAAAGGCTGTGCGGAGCAGCCGCTCTGCCAGCCAGTGCCACCTGGGTATAGAGGCAGGGAAGACAGGAACCCAGCTGTGCACAGTAGTGCTGGGAGGTACAGGGTTCCCTGCCTTCTGAAGACTTACGCCTACCCACACACGTGTACCTGCATGAGGTGCACACCGACACACAGCTGCACACATGTGTGCAAGGCGGACACAGAGCAGACTACACAAGTGTACACAGGAGGCACCCTGGTGCGATCACACCAAGGCCCACCAGACACAGCCTCACAAGCCACCTGGGTCCACCTGGGCCCATGCCTGCAGGAATACTGAAACCCACACACAGGTGCCTACAAATACACATGATGGGCACAGGTGCCACAGTGTACATGGATGGGTCAGTGTAGACACACAAGCACACACGTGTGTACACAGGTGCACTCAGGCACATGTGGCTATGCATCTTAGGTACAGAGAAGGGACATGTTTTTTCCTTCCCCCCTTCCCACGGGCCCGACTCCATTTGCTTTTATGGCATTCCCTACACCACTCCCTACCCCCGCTGTCTCCGCACCAAGGACACAGCAGGTATCTCAGGAGCGGGGAGGTGACTTGTGAGGGAACTCCAGTGGGAAATGATCCCGAGCTGAAGCCATCACTAACTGTGGGTGTGACCCAGCCACCACCAGTAAGTGCTAAAGAGTAACACTGACCAATAAAGAGAGTGCCGTGCTCAACAGAGGGCCGTAAGATGAAAACCTGGCCACCTCCTACAGGGTGGAGGGTATCCCTCCACCTGGCTGGACCTGTCGCATTTGTCCCTCCATGGTGAGCACAGGACCCCTCTGTCACACAGCTCCAAAACCCTCACCAGGGGGCCCACTCTGTAACCACCAGATGTCCCACTCCCTCACCACCTCGCTGTTTCACCCGCTCAGCAAGCAGTGAGCTCTTACTACATGGTGCCTGCTGTACAGGACCCTGGGGCCACAGTAGTGAACAAGGTGCACGAGAAGCCCTGGGTGGGGGGAAGGGGCTTCTTCAAGTCGGGGGATGGCATTGTGGAGATGTGACATGAGGCTCCTGGCCCACCCGGTGAGTGACACAGGAGTTAGAGGGGGATGTGCAGGGGCTCAGAACAACAGACTGTTGGGGAGGTGGGAGGCACAGGAAGGACAGGGGCAGTGCTCAGACCCTGTAGCTTCCTCAGCCAGGGGTCATTCCTCACCACACGGTTTCTTCTGTCACTGAAGACACCCCCTCCTCCAGGTACCTAGCACCTGCACTGCCTTGGTTTCACCTGTCCCCTCAGGTGGGTCTGTCTGGAGGAGGGGTCGCCCATGCCAGCAGGAAGCATGGGCAGCATGGCCACTGCTCAGGCAGCCCTAGTTCCTGGGGAGCGCCTGCTCCAGGTGTACCCTATGGCACAGAGAGCATCTGCAGGGGTAGCAGGCGTGCATGCCCCAGCTTGCCTTCCCACAGTGCAGGGCAGGGCAACTGTCTGAGGTGGCCAGACCCAACTGCCCAGAGCCCAGCCTGCAGGGTACTGGTCAGTCATGACCAGTGAGTGAGGCTCATGAGTGGAGGAGGCTCACACACATTTAGAGGAAGAGTGGGGGACAGCTTGTGCTTTCCCTAAGACTGTGAGCCATCCCACCCCTAAGTGTAGAGACCCTCCCACGCCACACAAAACTCCAGTCCTTGGCCAGCACCTCCTTGCAGGCTATGGATTTGACTCACAATACTAAATTATACACTAAATTACACACCGTTTCAAGAAGCAAGCAAAAACAAACACATAAATAAGCAAGCAGAGAAACAAACACAGCCAGCAGAGCCTCTGGGAGAAGGAGGTAGCTCCCCTCTGAGAACAGTGGAGTGCTCAAGGGAAGGGGAAACCAGGCAGCCTGTGGGTCCACGTGAGAGAAGTTGTGATTCACACCACTGCTATGCACAGGTGCAGCCATTGGGGCTATGTCCCTAAGTCGCTATTTTAAGCTCTGCAAGCACACGGGCCACTCTGTTATTCCCACCAAACTTGAACTCAGACACCTCCATAGAGGCTCATGGTGTCCAGGCTACCTCAGGGCTACCTGGCTCCACAATGCAGGACCAGCATGGCAGTTCTCTGGAGCAGTCAACCATGAGGACCGACCCAGTCACCGAAGACACCTCCTCCTCCAGGCACCTAGCACCTGCACACCCACTTCAGGGTGACAGTTGCTAGGACAGCCAAGGAAACCCTGGGCTGCAGAGGGTCCTAGACACGGGTGAGGCTTTGATGATCAGCAGTGTCTAACCCAGGTCAACAGCATGACTTTCCTGTGTCCATGTCTGAAAGCCTGTCCAGGAGGACCCCCAATGCCACATGGGGTGGAATCCAAGGAGCCATGTACATGAGTGTTTGAGGGGCAGGCACACAAGGGATGACAGGTGGCAGAACTTTGTTAGAGAGAAACGCAGCATTGCGACAATGACATTTTTACAAAGAACCAGGTGTTCCCCCTAAGGAGCAGCCCCTCCCTGAACACCTCAGCAGGGTTAAACTTGGCTTAGTGTGCATGAGTGTGACAGGGAATTCCTTCCTGGTCTTGTCTCACCTACCATATCACCTTCCATGTAAGCAACGCGGCCACACTTGGTTCCAGGGAAACCGCTAACTGCAGGGAACCAGGGGCCATGGTTGTTGCTGCCCCAGGGTGGAAGTGCCAAGGAAATACTGTCAGCCCAGCCTGGGAGAGGTTGGTCCCACCACAGAGCGAAGTGACCCATGGAGACCCCATGGTCCCGGCCTTAGATGGATGGACTCCCTCATAGGGCAGAGTGACCCACAGTGACACCATGTACCCAGCCTGGTATGGATGGACCCCACCATAGTGCAAAGTGACCCATGACGACCCCATGGCTCCAGCCTTAGATGGATGGACCTTCCATAGGGCAGAGTGACCCTCAGTGAACCCATGGCCCTATCCTAGGAGAGATGGACAACTCATAGGGAGGCCACCCTGTCCATACATAGGCTGGACAACTTGGGCTCAGATATTTTATGATTGCACAGCCAGGTGAGATCTGGAGCCGTGAGACACTATGACCAAGCAGGCCCTGTGGGCTTAGGACCCTGTCTAATACTGGCAAGAAAGTTTCCCGGGGCACCACTCTTTCTCTGCCTGGGCCCCGCATGTCCTGGCTGCCCAGAGTTGTTCCTGAGCCAGGAGGAGGGACCGTGTCCTCTGGGAAGCCCCATCCCAGAGTGCACCATTCTTGGCAGCTGGGACAACCAACCTCGGCTGCTAAGTGAGCCGAGCCGTTTGTCTGTGCCAGGTGCGCAGGCGCGAGTAGCTGCTGCAGGGCCAGGCTGTGGACCCTGCCCATTCATACGCTTCATCAGCATGCAGGAGCCGTGGGTGCCAGTGCACTTCAATCCCAGCTCTGACACCAGCTCTGCCCTAAGGGCAACTCTCGGCACTGGGCCCAGACCTCGGCACAGCTGTATGGTAAACACACACACAGGCACGCACATACCACAGACAGCCTCCCTGGGCCCACCTGTGGTCCCACCAAACTCTGGCTGTCCCCAGGGCAGGGGCTGACACACAGTCTGATGGATTCTGGGAGCACACAAGCCTCACAGGCTGGAATTCCAGTATCAGTCCTACACTGTACCAGGAACAGCAAGGAAGGGGACCTGGGCTGGAGGCAAGGGCTGGCACTGCCCTACTCGTCCTGTTTCTAAAGAGCTTACAGGAAGCACATCATACACCCAGATGAACAGGACTGAGAACTGAGACACAGAAAAGGCCATCAGAAATGTGTCTGCACAGCACAGCTCCCAGAGCCTCACTTCGTCCTCAGGGACCCCCTGGGTCTCCAGGACCCTGGTGGCCATAAGTGGGGAGAAGGGTACAGCAGGCTACACATATGTTTGGTCACTTATCCATTCCAGCCACTCCATGTTTTCTGAGAGGGCAAGCTTTGTCCAGGGAACATAGACAGGCCCAGAAATGGCACAACCAGGCTAGATGGCACAACACAAGCCCTCAGAAAGTTCAGCAATCCCCAAGACAAGGGCTACACTACCAGGTTGGGCCCAGGTCACATAGTGTGTGCCATGTGTCCCAAGGGCAAGCTGTGTAAGCTTGCAGCTTTCACACCTGGGTGAGGTTCCAGGTGGGCATGGCCCAGACTGGTGGCTCCAAATGGAGCAACTGAAGATGGTACTTGGTAGCCAGTGCCCAGGACTCTGTGAGTAGGTGGGTAGGGAGGAGGTCCTAAGGATCAGCAGGGAGTACCTGGATCCTCCTGTGCAGCACCCCCTTCAATCCTGGGCACAGACAGATGGGCCATTTAGTGTGCTGTGGCTGTGAGATAAATCTAGCAGGATGTCTGATAAGATGGATGACAGAATAAAGACTCAAAACGACTCTGACAGGCGCAGGTCAAGGGAATGGCATTTAACGGTTGTAAATGTCAGCAGGGCGTTGGGA